GCTGCTGGCCCCCACACGCAGCAGCTTGTAGCCGCCCACCGAGCGCTGCGCTGACTCGCGCCTCAATAGCAATCTGATGCAAAAATAAACCAAGATAAAGAAATTATATCCGCTGTAAAGAAGGTGGTAAAATTGTACATTGTCATAAGAAATAGTATCAAATAATTTCCCAAATACTCACTTTTGTAAAACATCCATATCTATGAGGCTGTTTGATAAAGGATCAACTCCGTAAATATACAGATCGGTTCTGTAACAAAGAATATTGTACATATTTTACACCAAAAATGAATAGATTTTTAATTTACTCTAATGAGAAAACTTACGCATGTCCATCCATAGAGCCTTTGAAGCTAGGCTCGAACCTTCGCACGCGGACGTCATAGCCCGTCATGTTAGACAGGGATCTAGTTATATTTTCCATCTCTTTCTCCACTTCGGTCGGTTTCGCGTCCACCGCTAGGATCAGCTGCTGACTTTCATCCAGGACATATACCTATTGGTAATTAACAGTAATCAAGTTTTTTGACAATTAACATTACAATTACAAATGAACAAATTCAAAACATATTGAGGAAGCTTAGTTAGCTTACTTTCGCATTTATAATATTAGTATGGTTGTCTTGGTATAAATTACCAATAGGTGTTACTATTTTATGAGGTGGCGTACTGACAACATAGTACCTTTCAAAGAAGTTACCGGTGAAACATTCACTATATCTACATATGAAATGTCTCTGTGTACACATTATCACTTACGAAGACATTGGCAATAGCAGAGCGGCCGTCGTCAGCGCCGGCGCGGTCGGTGGCCTTGACGTCGAAGCCGAACACCTTGCCCTTGTCGCGCGCCACGCTGGTCGCCGCGCGCACCGCGCCGCCGCGCGCCGACACAGCGAACCGCCCGCCGCACGAGCTCATCAGCTGGTAGCGGATATCCGCGTTCACGCCCGCGTCCGCGTCCACTGCCTACACACGTTCACGTATACCATAGCTTGAGGAAAATAACGGGCCATTGCCAGAATAACGGGACAATGACAAAATAGCGCGACACTACTAGACCCTAACGTTGAACAGAACTTTGTGGAACACTTTTATTGCGACAGTCGGCCCTTGTCCCAAAACTTGACTAACAATACATATGTATGTATTGTTTATGATTGAGAATGTTCTCTACATGAAACAATTCAAGAACTCTACCCGTACTAGCAATTACATATTTTTTCTTTCTACAAAAATTATTTGTTTTATTACCAGTGTTAGATGATTATTTCACATTGTTAGTATGTGTACGTGAAAATATGTTATTTTTTTTACTTTATTGTAAGGGAAATAAAGCTATCTTTGTCTGTTTTAGTGTAAAGTTTAGAAAATCATATAGTACCTGTAATTTAATCACTTCATATCCAAAAGGAGCAGTGGTCGGGATAGCTGTGACCATCGGCCGACCTCCGTTAATGAACTTCGGTGCATTATCATTCACATCTTTAATTCTCACGACTATTTTCACATCGTATTTCGTCATTCCCTCCAACACGTCATCCGACACCGGATATATCATGTGCGGCATCTCCCGGCTGATCTTCTGTCTCTCCGCTCTGACCAAAACTTCATAAACATCTTTTACTTCCCTATCTGGGCTTCGGACTAAATATAAAGTACCATTGCGTGGATCGATCACAAAAGTTCTTCTAATATCTGTATCGTTTTCATTTAATATGAAATATCTCATTTTGAAATTCTCGTAATGTTCCGTCAAATTCAGAGTAACTAGTTCTACTGGTGTGTGAACATTTTCTTCGATCTCCAGTTCATAATACCTTGATATGAAAACTGGTTTATCTGATATTTCGATCTCGTCTGGTACGTCTTTCACTGTTAACATTACTATGGCGGTCGAACTTAAACTCGGTGAGCCTAAATCTGATGCGACAACGGTCACATTGTAAACAGACTGGGATTCATAGTCCAACCTTGCCGTTGTTGTGATTATTCCTTCTTTCGAATCTATTGAAAATATATTCATTTGATTTTTTCTTTGCGGTAAGCTATAAAGTATTAATCCATTTCCATTGCTTACTAAATCGGAATCATTCGCATAGACTCGTGTAACTACACTTCCAATGGGAGTATTTTCTTCTAAGGTAGTTTTATAAACAGGGATCATCATGACTGATTCAAAATTGTGATTAGAAATATTATCCGCTTCTGGATGTTTCCATTCTAATAACTCGTCATAGGCGTAAAACTTAGGCGCATTGTCGTTCACATCTAAAACCTCTATTTCCACACTGACAGACGAAGTTAGCTTTTTTTCATAGCCGTTGTCTCTGGCTACTACAGTTAGAATGTATTTATCTTCCTTTTCTCTATCTAATTCACCGTTAATGCTTAAAACACCATTTAATGGAGAAATTTCAAATGGTAAATCTTTACTGTCCGGTTGTAAAAAGTAGGTTAAATTCGCGTTTTGTCCAAAATCAGCATCCGTAGCGTCAACTTTCCCAAGAACGCGTCTGCTGTATTGAGCTTCATCCACATTAAAAGAATACCACGACTTTTTAAACATTGGAAAATGATCATTAATGTCTTTAACAAATATTCGTATTGTAATATGATCAATAAGTCCTCCGCCGTCAATAGCGGAGACATTTAATCTAAATTCAGCTTCCGGAGGTAAAGCCCTGGCTACAACAATGTGTCCGTGACGCTCATTTATAACAAAATATCTTCGTACTTGCAACGCATTTCCATACAATGCAGTCGGTGGTATAAAAACTTCCGACATAAATTCATAGCGAACTTGACCATTCACTCCACTATCCATATCTACGGCGTTCAATTTCAATATCGTTGATCCAATCGCTATATTCTCGGGAACTAAAAATAACGGCCCTGTCGCGTCGACAGTTGTTGAAAACTTATTCTTTGGTTTAACTTCTATTTTTGCAACTCCGCTATTCACGTCATTTTTCTTTTCTTTAAATATTTTCACGTCCGTCCTGCCGTGGATTTCTAATAAATCTACACTTTCTCCTAATGGAATAATGATTTGGTTGTACTTTGGTTCATTGTCGTTTTCATCGAGGACAGTTATAGTTAACTTTGCTTCGGATTTAAGACTTCCTTTATCTCTGGCAACAACTTTCAGCAAATATGAACTCCTTTCTTCTCGATCAAGCTTATTACCAACATATGTAACCACACCGCTCAATTCATTTACAAAAAATAAATCATGACCATCTCCGAACAATGTGTACGAGAAAATTGCATTCAGACCAACGTCAGCATCAGTTGCTCTAATTTTGTTTGTCATTTTCACTTCCGTCCCCTTTTTAGCGTTCTCAGTAATAACACCTTCATAAATAGGGTTGTCAAATACTGGAGGGTTGTCGTTTTCGTCATCGACAAATATATTTACTTGATAAATTCCAGCGCCTGATACTATTCCTTTGTTAAATTCGACGATTACTGTCATTCTATAGGAGTCCCGCTTTTCTCGATCAAGGGACTTTTGAGCATAAATGGTGCCATCTTGACCTGGAAAAACGCAAAATTCAAATACATTTATAAACATTTAATTAATTTGAAAAAAATCTAATTATTTACAGTGAGAAACCTTACCAATAGCAATATCATCGGAGACATCTTGTTGATTGGCTATGATGTATCTGATATTTGCAGTTTTATTTGTTGCAACACTGCTACTATTCATATTAAAAATTTGTCCTATCATAGCTCCCACTAGATTTTCTTTAACATGGAATGTGATCGGTGATTGGGTACCCCTGAAATAAATCATATTAAAAATCTCTAACTTCTTCGTGTAATATCGCCTTAGTAATTGATGCAACTTACTTTAACAAGAAACCTCTCTCATCGTCGGCATCTACAACATGTATGGTCGCGTTTGTAGCTATATTTAAATCGACTCCTTCTTGTATCGCAACCGCCTCAAAATCATACATAAGACGATTGAATTTTGATAACTCATGGATAACAGTAATCACACCAGACCTTTCTTCCACAGCAAATGGCACTGGAAAAAAGGTACATATAATCGTAGAATTTTTGTGTTTAAATTAAGTCAGTAAGGTTCACTATGAAATTTTATTTTACCCCCTTCTTCATATCCATGTAGCAGATCATAAGAAACATCAGATTTTTCCATAGCTTCATTGACTCTTATTTGACCGACACTAGTTCCAATACCGACGTTAGAACCGACCCAAAACTCATACGGTGCGCCGACGAAGTCCGGTTTATCTGGAATATTGTATTGTTCCAATCACGTCTCTTAGAACCCATGAATCGTAAAGTAGATAAGTAAAGAAACAATATTCTTACCAGTACTGGATCTAGTGACATCAACCGTAACTACGGCTAAAGAGTATCTTCTCTCACTAGGATTAGCAGGCTGGTCTGATGCCTCCACAAACAACGCATGTCTACCCTCCAGTATAGGAGTCTGCGCCACTGTAACCTCACCGGAATGAGCATCCACTTGGAACGGCGAAGTAATCGTCAAATTACTAGTTCTTTGTAAATCGTACGATACGATACCGTTTCTCCCTAAATCTGGATCCACAGCTTTTACATTACCGATGAAAGTTCCGATTTTAGCGTTCGATTTCACTGAGAACTCATACAGATTGCTCGGAACAAACACGGGATTGTTATCATTAGCATCAAGTAGTGTCACTTCCACTGTTACGAACGACATAAACTGGTTTATATCTTCGAAGTATTCGATATTTTCACTCTTGGTTCCAATTTTATCAGGATAAACGTAGGTAGTTTTCTCTTTTGGGAGAGTCGATGTGGAAGGGTTGCGGCGCCATTTTGATAATCTCTGTTTATCCAGAAATGTGCCGAATACGCTTGGATTTTTTTCTTTTGCGTATACTTTCATTCTTAAAGAGGAATGCTGCTCTCTATCTAAAACAGTCTGAAAAAATTAACATTTTAAATAAGCCGACTCTTACGTAAATGTTGTAGTCAAAACATCTAAAGCTATGAGACATTTCTTCCTTACTTGGTAATAGAATATTAACAGCCTAAACTGTTAAATTTAGGTTATATCGTAGTTTTTAGGTCAAGGATTACTGTACTTAAGCATTTCTGAGTTCGCAAGTAGGAATAAACAGAAATTGTAGTTTAATGGAATGTTTTGTGGGATCTAGACAAAAGTATCAGCTACAACTTAAGGAATTACGCCTCAACAATAGATAGTAAAAAAGTTAGTACACGAGATTAATGGACTAAGTCTAAAAGATCCTTTGAAATATTTTTCTGTTCGAGATTTATTCAGGAAACTTCAGTAACTTCTTAAGTCTTTTTTACTCTACTTATTAAGAAAGAAACATACACATTATTTTATTTTAAGATAGAATTTCATAATAACATTAAAATTGAATTAAAGGCAATTTGTATTCGTATAGTTTCTACAGAGATATTTAAAATGTTTAGTAAATGGACTAAATCATTCTTTGAGCTATTATCAAAATTTAATTATTTTAGTCGTATAAGCTCAAACTAAAATAATTAGAAGTAAAATGTAAATAGCATATTCCTTATTTTTTGTTGTAAAAATACAGTGTGTGTTAACCTGATTCCTGACAGTGAGCCAGCCGCTCTTGGGGTCGATGGCGAAGGCTCCCTCGGGGTCGCTGAGCTGGTAGGAGAACTCCGCATTCTCGCCCTGGTCCTTGTCCGTCGCCATCACCTGCAGCACGCTGAAACCTGCCACAACAATCAAAATACTAAAAAATATAAACATGACTGAAACAGTGAAAATTGTAACAATTAGGGCTTGTCCCTCCACTGGCTGATAGAAGCTCAGATAGGTTAAAAATGACGTCACTCTCAGATAATGTAACAAAATCCGATATTTACATCACATTTTACACGTTGGATTGTTATCAGATAATTTACAATTTGGTGGAACAGGTCCTAAGACTTGTGAATGGTAAATTATAATATTTAATTGCTGAAGTATCAATGTGTCTTCCTATTAGAATGAAATAAAATTAATTCAGTTCAGCTTAAGTACTTGACTTGTCTTGGGTTCGAGTCTCACCACCAATGTGTTGTTGATGTTTACAATTTCATATGTACATAATTTACCTATATTATTACTGTGAAGGAAACATTAATGCACATAACGGCGAAGAAATTCAAACATGTGAAGTCAAAAGAAGGCTTCGTGGTGAAGTATAAATATTGCTTTGGTAGAAGACGGTAACAATACCGTTGGGCAAGTTCTCGACGATGCTGATGTTGTAGAAGTCGACCTCGAAGTCGGGCAGGTTGTCGTTGAGGTCCAGCAGCTCCACCTCGATGCGCGCGCGCGCCGCTCGCCGCGCCTCGCCCACCTGCTCCGCCTGCACCACCAGCACCAGCGTGTTGCCTGCCGCACACACACACATGAACTATACACAACAACATTTCATAGAAATTTTAAGGCCATTTTAATCAAGGGTAATATCATTTTAAAAGTTGACAGAGAGATTTTATAACTAGATACAACAATTTTTATTATGTAGCTACTATTTAAGCAACCAACATAAAGCAATTTAGACGAGGAAGTGAACAACATTTTGTCACCGGTACTTTCTCTGAAAGGTATATCAGTTGTCAAGTTTAGTGCCGTCTCGGTGTCCTTGTATTGATTAATTATAAAACATTTTACAAAATTATAAGCCATATCTTGTTGATAAAATAAACGAAAATAAGCGTTACAAAATAAAATATAAACATTTGAATATTATTTAACGACATCTATTGGCAATTATTAGAAACATTACTAACAGTTTCGAGAATCTACCAATAGATGGCGTTAGTAAACATTTTGGGGGAAGAGGAATTTTCTTTTTCCATATTTTTCGAATCTGCTGATCTAATACTGTAAGAAAAGTTGTCAGTATGATAGCAGCTAGTTACCGGGCAGCGACTCGGCGTCCAGGTCTATCTCAGCGTCGAGGAAGAGCGTGGCGTTGAGCGGGCCGAGCGAGAAGCGGCGCGTGTCGCCCGCCACCAGGCGGTAGCGCAGCGGCGCGCCCACGCCCGCGTCCTGGTCGAAGGCGCGCACCGCCTGCTCGAACACCAGCTCCTTGTGGATGCGCTTGCCCTACGCAACCACACTTTTATTAACTTATCATAATTTTTATTAAAAAATACTAGCTTTCGCCCGCGGCTCCGTCCGCGTCAAATTAAAAAATAATATAAAACATAGCATATGTTACTCACTAACAACATAGCTTTTTAATAGTGTGATTTTGAAATCGGTCCACTAGTTTTTGAGTTATTTCATAACAATCAAACAAAGTTTTCCTCTTTATAATATTAGTAGATCTTTGTTAATCATACTAATGTCATAAATGCGAAAGTTTAAATGGATGTTTGTTAGAATTTGTAGTCTACACTGCTGAGCAGATCTCGATAAAAATCGACATAGATGTAGAGGATAGTCTGAAAGAACACATGAGCCACTTACTTTTGTTTTATTTTTTAACCACCACGCAGACGTAGTCACAGGTAAAAGCTACTTTACTTATATTTCGTTTACCTTTCCAACTAAGCTAGACGTGTTAGTATATGATTTTACAATAATTAAATGGCGGGATTCGAACTTCAACCACGTGATCGGATACGCACCCCTAACCATTAGGCTATTGGCGTTTAATAGGAATAAGCTTTGTTAGTACTCACCAGTATAGGATAGAATTCTGGTATTTTAGTTCTGTAGACGTCGAGAGTGAACTTGGGCGGCAGGTCGTCATTGTCCATCACTATGACGTGTACAGTGGCGTTGCTGTGGCGCGGAGGAGAGCCTCGGTCCTGGAACATGAACATCATTAGCAACATTATTAAATTCTGGTCTTACAAGAAATGTTTAACAATGGTAGAGCCCCATTAATATATTCACACTGTAGGGCTAGCTCGGTGCGATACCACGACCACCCAGAAGACAGGCGTGAAGTCTGATGAGTGTGGTGCCGGAGGCCTTTTCCCTTTCCAGCCTTTTTTAAT